ATATATCCATACTGAAATCATACGAATATTAAAATCTTAGAGCTTAGTATTTCCCCAGCAACATCACCCAACTATATTAAATGAATATGCTATTTTATGTGTCTCTTTTTGTTAAATTTGTACATTATCAAACCATAAAGTCTGGTTTTTTGGTTTTATCAATTTTATGCTTTTCTGTCATATAATAGTTGCAGAGCAGTGAGCTAATGCATAAGACTTCAACAGTCAGATCCTTCTCTTTTTAGTGAAAAGGAGCAATTTCTCATCAACTTCAAATGAAATAATACTTGGTCTTTGGATAGATATAAAATATACAATCTACTCTCTTTGAACTTATCTCTGCAATTTTATCTTCTGCTGCTTGCATTTACTAAAATGTATTTATTGTTTTTGCAAGTAACAGTAACCAAGATATAATTACAGCTTTCCGTAAGTTCAGTAAATACTTCGTTAAAAATAGCCTTTTCAAATAGGTGTCGGTAAGGTTTCCAATCCTATATTAAATGGTATGTACTCAAATAGTAATGATAAAATATATCATAAGTTTATTTTAGTAGATTTATTTCTCTCTGGTGAATAATTGAAATTAAGAATAAAGATTTACCATAATGCATACATTGATTGTGTAATGCATGCACAAATTTTCAGACGTATAATTATTACAGATGGCTACATTGTATATATTTTTGAAGCCAGGACTTCACATTTTCAATTCTAGCCTACAAATACAATTTATATTAATTGTAATAACTCATAACCATATTGTCCATTTAGATTTTGTGAAGTATTATTATTCTAATAGCATTTTAGACTGGAAATTTCTTCATGTGCTATTTTCTGGAAGTACACTGAAAATTGTGTGCTGTATATAGGACATTAGCAGTTTCAACACTGAAAAATTTCCAAGTACATCCAGAAGAATTATTTTCTTACATTTTCTATTGCATGAATTCAGGTATCGGCTCAGAGATAATACCTTTGTGGGACTGGATGGCTATCTCCTGAGCCTCATGAAAAGATCACATCCTTGGACTTTTATGGGGTTTTGTGTTTGTTCCCGCACCCCACCCAGCAGGAGCTATTTTCCTAAAGTTCTAGGCAAAGCTGCGAAGTTTGGGGCTTTTTATAATATATGCTTTTTTGGCTTGTGGGGATTGAAAATCAGTCACAGGAGGGACAATAGTTGGTGAAATATTTTTTGTGGGGGTTTTTTATAATGAAGAAAGGCTCTATTTCTTTATCATACATTTTCCTTAAGTTTTACTTCTGTCAAGAATGATTTTTTTTTTTTCCTTTCAAAACTTCGGTTCAAACAAACATCTAAATTAATGGTACATTTATGAGAAATGCACGCATACAAGAGGCATCTTCCTGCTGTTCATCCAGCTAGTGAAAGAATGAGGTTAACACTTAGGATCTTACCAAAAAGAGTAAATAGATGCTTTTATAACATTTTGTTTTTCTGTCCATCTGCTAACGAATGTAATTAGAAAGGAAAATTGGTGCTGTCTGTTATGATAGGGACTGACACAATTATAACCGTAACTACCACCTGATACATACACAATTTGTGGAAATAGTCACTTTTGGGGTCTGATATTTTCCCAGGCTTGGTCTCTGCTGAGGAATTACTCATTTATTTGTAAAAGCTTACGCGAAATGTGTATGGTTTCAAAGGGCTGGGAACACCCCTGGAGTGCCGCGAAGGCTTTGATGTTGCAAAGGCAGCTGAGTCAATTCAGGGGTAAGAGCTAGATTGTGCCCTCTCATCCCACTGCCAAACCCTGTGTGGTCAGCTAGCTGCCTTTTCAGCAACTGGCTAGTGGCGTTTCTTTCAGGTTAGTGGTCCAGAAAGCAAAGTTAACCTTTCAGACTACTCTCTGAGCTCTGAACGTTAATGCTATGATTTCCCTAGCTCTAAGACCAGTGCGTGAACCCAGTGCACTTGAGCAAATCCAAGCACAGTCAGGAAAGCTGTGGTGGTGGTGGTGGTGATCCAGACGAAGGAAACGTAAAGATGACATTGCATGCGGAAGCTTTCTGTTGACGATGCCACTGAGATGTACTGTGTTCTTACCATGTCCTCCTCTCAAATGCACTGATAATACACACAGCTGGAATTTTAAAGGCAGTTTAAGAAAATCCTCTCTATAGCATGTCAGCGTTTCACTTTCCTGGGTTCCTTTAATACGTACTAAACTTATAAAGCATGCTATTTGTGGACATCAGGTGAGGAGGGTGCTCAAAATTTGGATTTCCTGATTTGATGGTTAGCTGTGTACACATTTGCTTTTAATATTAATTTAATCTAACAGTTCTTTCTATATGAAGATGTATCATATGAGTGAGTTTTCATTACAGTGGCAGCAAATTAATCCTTTCAGGGGAAATGTTTGAGGAAGTGGGAATACAATTAGCCCTTTTAAATCATATTCCCTAACATATGTGAAATAGCAGGTTGCAACAATTTATATTTGGTGCCTTCTATCTAACACAAGTCCTATTGCATTTTTAAGATAACAGCTTCTCAATCCTAGTAATTTTCATCTTTAAAATCTTAAGAGTTCCAGGTTGACAAAAACAGTGTAACTTCTGCCTTTCCAAGTTAAATCTGATTTATTTTAGATAAACTAGCATTAAAGTCTCTTGGTAATTGTCTGTCTTCTATCGGTTGCAGCTGATTTGTCCCAATAAACAATTCCAGAGAGCTCTGTGTCAGATCAACTAAGATAGCATTGCATCTGTCATGAGGCTGTTCTGAGGCTGATGTGAAGGGATTGTTACTTTTCACTATAGTGCATTCTTTAATTTGTTGACCTTGCTTACCACAAGCACTTTTGTGGTTTCTTAATTGCAGTTTTTTAATTCATTAAAATGAATTATTGCAGTCCTAGTAATACCAAAATCACGACACTGCTCTGTACATCAGAGATTGCAAAGTGGTTTATGTTCTTGAGCTAGTCCCATTTTAAGACACTGATCGTGGCCTCAAAGCCTCACAAGAGCCATCAGCTAGTGATACTCTTAGCAAATTCCAAATCTGATACCATACAATGATTAGTTCTCTGTATTTCATGACATCAAGATGCCCAGCAGACAGATATTCATAGAAGAGCATTCTGCTCAGATGGAGGTAGGCAGTACCCTACTGAGTCCAAAACCAGATCTTCTGCACATGTGTAAAGTATCGGGTGCCAACTTATGTACAGGAAGGGCCATCAGATATATTCACTGAGCTTGGTTCCTCCAAAATCTGCAATATAACTCTGCTTTGATACTGTGATCAACAAAATTATTTAGCAGCTGTTTGACTTCCATGAGACAGGACTAGGTGCCATGTCATTCATAAACCTAAGTTCACAGAAGAATAGAAAATAAAGGGTATTTCTTGGATTGTGCTTGAGTCTTTTTGGCCTGCTTCATCCATAGCAGTCACTGTCTTTGTAACTTGCTGAATTCAGAACACAAAGAATCAGGAGGGCAGCCAAGGAATTAACAATCACAGAAAGTTGGATTATTTATTGATGGAGGAGATCTCAAAATTCAGATTGGGATTGACTTGTCCAAGAATAGCAGAGGACAGTGGCACAGAACCACTGAGCTATGAAGTCTCATGTTAGCATGGGCTTCACGCTTTGTGGGTGCTTCATCTAGCTAATTGATCAGAAGTGCTAAGGGAATTCATTTTGACTTTTATCTAGGGATATGTGAACATGCCATGGAACTGTTCGGCTTTATAAACCCCTGTAAACCAGGTGAAGACTCTTACTTTGGCTGCACATCTGCCAAGCACATAGATTATGGAGTTAAATTCTTAAGTGCCTATGGTTTCACAGCAGGTTTGTGCGAGGACTGGAGGAAGGAATCCACTCAACAAGTAACTTCTTCCACTGTTCCAGTTACACCTCCTCACCGAGCACAGTTCCACATTCAGCCGTCTCATATAAACCAGATATATACAGAGCGACCTTTTCTCTATGTAATGTGCTCGTGTTGATCATCTGTATGAAAAATTCCAAGCATCGCATAATATGAAACATTTATTTTTGTTCTCATCTTACTATTAAGTCCAGTCTCATTATAAATTTTCCAAACTTTGACAAGAGATACAGAATCAGACGTGTTACATACATTAATTTGGCAGGCCAATGGCAACCTCGCACTAAGAAATACAATCTTGCTTTCTTTTTTTTATTTTAGTATGAAAACTTTATATTGCATACCGTGGTGTGTACACTTGTATGCACTGCTTTTATGCACATTCTAGCTAAAGGAGATAGCTTTAATTGCTGAACCACTGTCCTGCTTGGTATATACAGAGAAGAAAATTTGCCTCATATAGATCAAGCAGGTTTTTATTATAATGATCAAGTGTTACAGGCTGCACAGCATTCACAACGGACTTTTTTTGTTTCTGTAGAGACAAAAGAGTTTACATGAAATGGTTTGCTCTGAGTTCTGGTACATTTGTGTCACTTCATACACCTGAGACAAAACGCAGTTCGTATCTGTGGAGCACAGGAGGGAAAAAGAAGTCCTAAAGTAGTTTAAACCTTGAATCAGATATGTTTGTAAAGCTCCCTGATACAAACGGATAAGCACTATATATTGTAAAGGCTTTCACGGTTTGTATTTGTACTGCAAGACTATAATTATTTATAATATCCTTTAATATTTCTGTGTGATGGCCAGTGTTATAAATGTAAGAATGTAAGATTATGGTGAGAAATAATACTGTCAAGTACTTTAAGAAGTTTTATAGGTGAACCGTCTGACCTCTAACGAAATAGTCCCAACTCTGGTTTGGGAACTGTATTTATCAAGTGCAGCAAACTCTTTGTATAGTTTACCCAAGAGTTTCTGATACACCTGAAAAAGTAAAGTTCGTACTCATATACTATAATTATTTTTTTCTGAATTAACGAAGACAAGGATTAGTTTTAGTTTGAGTGGAAATGCAACACATTGGTTAATTAATTTCCTTGTTTCCTCAAATACAGATCTGCAGACTTCAGCGTCACCTATCAACAGGAAAATACCAGCAGAATCTCTTTTCAAACCAGCCTGTCATGTTTGTATCTCCTACCAGTCAGCCACCCTGCAAAAAACTAACTGAACTTATACAGCTGTCAGGAGGGAAAATATGTAAAGTCTTACGTCAGGCAAAAATCTGTATAGGAAAAAACCCAGGAAAGAAGTACCGGGAAATAAAAAGTTTATCAGAAAAATGGGTATTAGGTAAGACACTAAATTTCAACTCATATAAAATATTGTGGAATATGTATTCAAAAATTGAGTGTAAAGAGTTCACTAAACTGAGGTTATGGAGGGAAGAAAATGGAACAGACTGCTACAGTTAGGTTTTCAGGAAGGTTGTCTCCATGGTGAGGACTTTCTCTTACAACTAAGACTGCTTTACAATGGTCCTGGTACTCACCGTTGTAATTTCAGCCAAAGATTTTCAAATTTATCTTTTGTATGATTGTTTCATTTAGAGCAAACTAAATTATGGGGAAACCCCCGTAGGATAATTGCTTTTTAAAATGGCATGTACTTAGATGTAGTAAGAAAGATTTTTAACTGGTAAAAACTGGCACAGCACTACTGAAATATGGTAATTGGCACCCTCTGATAATCTGTCCTGAATTATATATCTGAAAGATGTACAACTTGCAAAAAGTTTCTTTTTAAAATCTGTTGTTAAGTTTCTAAGAGTTGCTAGTCCATCGCTTTTCCATTAAGGACACCACAGTTCTAACCGTTACCTGTTTGCAGGGAATCAGATGTAAAATTGCAATATCCTCACGCTCAAAGAAGAGCTTTTGATAATCTATGTAGGATTCTCAGCTTCCAGCCTGACACTCTTCCTTCTTCAGACAAGATAAGGGTATTTTCCAAAAAGGGACCTTTTGCATACTAGAAAAAATAAGATTACATTTTCGTCATACACTATGTCAGACTCCTCTAGATAGTGCCTCACTCAGACTCTAGCAATAAATGTACTACATGAGTTGATGTTATACGAGACTAGCCAAGCAAGTCCCAATCTCTCAACCGATAACGCTATCAGATCATAATGACTTCAAACCTGAAAGAAAATACCACTAAAGAAGAAAGGAAAAGTGAGCCATAAGGGAAAAATACTCATCTAAATGCAAATGTTATTTGACGCTTTCCTAAAGTATAAGATAAAATTGTGAAGATTTGAGAGAGAGGCATAAGAAGGAGGCAGAGTTTATTGTGCCTTTCTCTGGCTTCAAAGTGACCAGATGAGGTTTGTGCAAGACTAAAAATATGAGTAGTAAATTAAACACAGAAGTTTCACATAGTGGTACTCCAGTCACAAATTCCAGATGAACAAAGGTAATGATCTAAAGTGGCATGCAACTCATGTGGCACGTCCCACTCTTTTCCTGGTCTGATGGAGTTCTGCCTCACCCCAGGTCGAGTATCTCATGAGCTTACTGCAGCTGGACAGGCCACGCTCAGCCCATCGGTGGGCTGAAGGAATTGTGTATCCGACTGCTAATGAAAGAGGATTCCGAATTCTTTGTGCCCGTTACAAATTTCTCAGTTCTCTTTTGCAGGCTGATGGTGCCTTTTCTAATTGTTATGTCCTGCTCACGAGGCACAGTTATGCACGCTCTGGCTAATGGATTTTAAATGATGAATCATCAAAACTCGGAAAAAAGAAGTATTTCTATATGATACTTTAAGGGAAGGATACATGCCTTTGAAGCTCAGCCCCTTTCTCAGCAACTGTTTACATAATAGTATGAACAGTGTCACCTATAAATTGCCATCTTAATCAAATAAATCAAATCAGATCTGAAGTTTTGTCTTATCTTTGACACTTCACTGTTGCAATCCAGTTGGTTGTGGCTATCTGCTTTCTGCTGTTAAAACTGACTGCCAATTAATTCACTCAAGGCTGACTACAATAAAAAGCGTATAGGTAGATAATGCGGCACCTTTTCTAAACTTAAATAAATGATAAGTTCTTGCGGTATTATCATTTGACTGCTTTTTTTTTAGGGTCCTTCTCTCTCTAGGTTCTCAGCTCCACCAAACTGTTCTATACCAGAAATTGCTCTGAAGTACATTGTTGCTTTATAATCTGTTTCTTGTGCATTTTATCTTAATCCTGGGTTTTTTATTTCTTTTAGATTCAATCACTCAGCATACAATATGTCCCATGGAAAACTACATTTTTCAGCTGTGAGCTAACTCAAGAGCTTCCATATGGTTTTAAGGAAACAAGCCTAGTTTGGATTCCACAAAAAAAGGAGCTGTGAATAAAATTTCTAAGAAAACGCAATATTTATAAATACAGGGAATGTTTTCTACATTTTTATTACTTGTGTAAGTGTTCATCTTGTGAAATCTTTGGGTTTTTATAATAAAGTACTTCCCTAATAAAAGTCATCTTGCTTTTATTTATTTGTTGAGGACCTTTGGACCTAAAAGTTGAATGATCATTATTCACTTGGAGGAAGTGGAAAGATATTTTCTAATCTCCAAGCGAAGCTGATCATGTTACAGTGCCATTAAAAGATGTGCATGCAGTGTGGGTGAGCGTGCCTGAGCTAGCTCTGGTGTAGTCAGCAGGAGCTGTGCTACCAGTGCAGATGCGTGGATTCTGTAGGCTCCTCTGTTCCGAGTGCCTCTGCGGACAGCTTCAGCCCATGTTGCCACATCTTCATGACCATTGCTAATTACATTTCTTTGGTAAAAGGATAAGGTTGCCCATCGGGCTCAACTCACACTGCTGGTGTAAACTTGCACTTCTAAATTGAGTTTTCAAAAGTAATTGAAACTCGGTGATTATGCTCAGATGCATAGTTAAGATATTAGTTTATTTCAATACCTTTAATTGAATTTCAAACTGTGTCTACCTTACATCTAGGCTGAAACCATAAACAGTTACTGATCCTGAGTCAAATGAATTAAGACAACACATCATGCAAGTGCTAAAATCTGTTGAAAATGGAACCTATCATTAAATCCTTTAGGTGTGATTGAAAAATGTATGCAAATGTCTTAAATTCCTCTTCAACCTGTGGTTTTGTTTTTAGCAGGTACAAAGTAAGATTTGTATGTAAAGTATGTTGTGTAACACATCTATAATGTACAACCTCCTTTAAATATCTGCAAGGTCCATCAAAATGATATATCATCATGATAGAGAATAATGTATTATCAAGTAACTTAATGGCAGCTCATAACTCACGCCTTCCAAACTCAATGCTCCCCTCAGAGTACTGTCAGTGTAAGGCAATGGAAACCCTGTACTAAAAATAATGATTTCAAGTTAATATTATGGAACAATCAAGGTACAATGGTTTACAAATGTTGCCATTCTATTGCATTGTTCTAACTTCTTGGGCTTTTTAAGGGATTTGGATGTACAATTTCTGTAAACTTGAGGATTATACAATTTTTTCTTCAAAACAATTTCGGCAGTATCTGGACGGCAGGCTGTTTCAGGCACAAATTGCATTTGTATCGTTGCTCTGTAAAATGTTAAACATACTTCTTAATGGAAAAGCTCCAAGTTATGATTATTTTATGGAAAATTAAACTGACTTTATTTTCAGAAACACTGAGCACCTGTAACTCAAAAGGTTAAGATCTCATTTTCAAGTATCTAAGCGCTATATAGCTGGTTTTAGTATATAAACTAGAAGATGTAATTTATTGAGGTCTTTTCCTTGCTTAGTTTTCTGACATGCACATTTTTAACAACATCTTAAAATTGGTATGTTTGATACAAAAATTGGTAGTCAGGTCTGTCTACAAACTGTACTGTTTATAATCGAAACTATTTACCTATTTAGTGCAGAGCACTGGTAACACGGTATCACTCTTCACCCTTGACCTTATGAGCCCCTTTATTAAGAAACTAGTTGCCACGTACTATAGACTCAAACACAAATACTTAAATAGGTTGTGACATGTGAACATATGGTTCCCAGTAAATAACAGAATAATTTGTTTGAATTATATTGCTTAACTTTGAATATTATGACCTCCTAGTTTATTTTGTAATAATTTCCTAAGTGTACTACCCATAAAAATCTGTCACTATTAATTTAGATAATATAACATTCCAAATCAGTTTTCTTATAAATCTTCCTAAGATTAATTTCAGCTATTTAAATTGTAAATTCTGGGATCAATTTGTTGGTCTTTATTAGTCACACGTGGAACAGACTTGACAATAAAAAGTCTAATATACTTTTTTCTAAATTACAATGTTTCAGATAAAACAATCTGTCAATTTAGATAATTTCATCTTAAATTATCTGGTTTGATAGAAATCCCTATCTATTGGCTGGTTTGCAAAATTTGTAGTACACAGGGGAATATAGCCAGCAGGCAATTAAATGCCTAATTTTGGTCTCACGTTATGGGCAATAGGAGTGCTGTCCATCCATACTGACTATTGCTTTGTAATAGTACGGAGCAAATACAGGAGAGGTTAGAATTAAATCCAAAGACTAGCATGTTGTACAGGCAGTAAAAAAGAAATAGTTTCATGTTTATAGCCTGGAGTCTTTCACACGAACAGCTTCTGACCTACGTACCCTAGTGTGGGTTCTCAACCACCTCAGCGTGAAGGCGCGTGCGCGTTTCTACCCAAGACCTCAACAGGAAAAGACACCGACTCTGGTCATCCCCTCAGTAAACCAACACGGGAGGGGGAATGATGAAAACTTGTCAAATGATTCATTTGTCAGAAGAAATCCACCGACTGAAGAAACACTTGTACTTGATACCAAGGTCCTAAGGGTGGTAACACACAGAAGAAAAGGCACAAAACCCAGCAACGTGAAGCATCATTGATTCATGGGTAGTTTTGAGTTATCAGTGCTACGATCTTTGCGACGTACAGTGCTTAATTGACATTCTGCCATAGTACAGCACAGCCGCGCTGTCTCCTCTACAAAATGGTACCGTGCTTACCTTATCAGGAAATTACTTTTTTTTTTTTAATTTCTTTTTTTTGCTCTCAATCTTTTTTTGTGGGGGAGAGGTTGTCTTAACCTTACCTTTTTTTATCCTGCATGAATATTTTTGCCATTCATTTGTGAAAACGACTTAGCTCAGCTGCTGTCTCTCCTTCTCAGAGAGCTCCTACACCCCTGCTAGAGGCTCTCTCTAACAAAATCACATTAGCATGATTAAAGATCTTTCTAACTTAGCTTAATTTGATTAGGAATCTGTTTAAACCAAAATAAATTGAAAAGCCAAAATAAGTATTATTCCTTTCTGAGATTCACATTGCCCGAGTTAATTCTTAAAAGTAGTTTAACTCCCAGCATAGGTCCTATTTTAACTCATTTCACTTGCATCGGTGGTATAGGTGGTATCAGTCGGATGCACAGACCACCACCATGCCTTCCCTCTTTCCTCTTCCAGAAATAAGAAGAGGTTTTGCCACACTTCGCATAATTTACTGGGGACTCATATTGGCAAATGTGGAAATACTGAGGACAAACAGAGGTATGACCTTGAAGAATGTGTTGCTTAAGTTGCAGAATGGCAGCAAAATCGGTGTCCTCTTCAAACAGTATATCCTTAAAAATAAATTAGGATCTAAAACCTCTTTCCTCTTCCAGAAATAAGAAGAGGTTTTGCCACACTTCGCATAATTTACTGGGGACTCATATTGGCAAATGTGGAAATACTGAGGACAAACAGAGGTATGATCTTGAAGAATGTGTTGCTTAAGTTGCAGAATGGCAGCAAAATCGGTGTCCTCTTCAAACAGTATATCCTTAAAAATAAATTAGGATCTAAAACAATTTCTTTATAGTGACAGTGACTAATAATGTGAGATTGGCTAAGGATGTGTTTGAAAGCGAGACTGCCAGAAACTTGTAAGGTGGGCGGATTATACGTCTCTTTTTTCCCCCTTTCATGTTTTTGTGATCAGTTTTAGATTGCAACTGCATTTGGGTTGTGTATATCTAGTGAGTAAAAAACCTCTAAATATTCATGGTGATCCTAGTGTATGAGCCATCTGGTACTGACTTATTAAACTACAAATTTGTTGAGTTGATTTTATGTTTCTGGATATTTTCCTGACTCAACTATAGGCAACTTTTTGGAGATTGTTACTTTTTAAATAAAAATAACTGGTAAAAACTATTGCATCACTTGATTTTCTGCTTACAGTTCCACTATAATAAACTTCTGTTATCTTAATTGATCTGAAGAATGTAATTTAGGCATGACTGCATTATGTGGTGAAGTGTTATCAGCACATTCAGCGCTAGGAAGCTGCAAGCACACACATGCAGTTTTTGGTGAAACCTATAACCAGCTTAGAGACTGTAAGGCAAAGGTGCTTTTAATTAGTATTTCTAAGCAGGAACCGTGGCTTTGTGGAGCTGTGTTTCTAACGCTTCTAGAGCATAAAATGGAGGTATCCCAGGAACATCTAGAAAGCCGATTAAACTAATTTTTTCCTCAAGAGCAACACACAACCCTGGAGGAAAAAAAAAAAAGGAGTATTTGCTCAGACTGAAAACTGGAAAGCATGAAAAAGTCTGTGTCTGTGCCAGCAGTCTGACTTCTTTAATGACAGATCTAATAACAGAAAACCAAATGGCTGTAGTCCTATTGCATTAAGCAGAGTTTTATTTCTGATCTCCTTTTATTGCTGTATTTCAGAATGAGCTCTTTGCATGATATGACCAAATGGTGGGCTCTGGAAGAGCATCACCCTTACTACAGCATCGTGCAGCAGCTGACAATAAGGTGGTTTAAAACTGCCAGTAGTAAATGAATAACAGCTGGTGTTTAGGTTATCAGCACAGGTGTCTGCTAAGAGCTTTTGCTGGAAGCTGGCAAAGCAGAGTTTTTCTTCTGTTGATACAGATGTGAAACAACCCTCCAAGCACCCAGGAGTGGTTCAGACTCCTGCGCAGGGCTGAGGTGTTGATAGGTGGCAGCCAGGTGTAACGTAGGACTGCAGGTTTCTTTGAACTGCCGGAGTCAGCATCTGTCAGAGGGATTGGCAGTGATTCGTGGCATAGTGCTGGAGGCGCAGCCTCCCAGCCTGCCAACAGGTCCACACCTTCCTCGCCCCTGGGAATGCCAAGGTCACGCTAGCTGAACCTTCATATGACTTCTTGTGTTGTTTGCCTAGTAGCTTCTGTTGTCTGGAAAGCACCTGAACTATCACAAGAGACAGAACCGCCCTGTGGTGTTTAT